AGGGCCGTCGGTTTTGTTTTATTTTTGAAAGGTGCGTTTGAATTGCCTCCTCCGGGTGTGGGGTAAGAGGTAAGCCGTGGCCGTGGCAGACAAGGAATAACGGCGACAAACCCCCCGTTTGTGTTGGCGGTGCCGGCGGGAGCGGCCTGCACTTTAAAACATGTAAATTGTTTCTTCTTTAATAAGTATCATTATTTCCACTGCATGTTTAGAAATCTAATTTCTTCTGAGCGTGAAAAGGTAAATTCAATGTTCTCAGGTAAATCAGTCCTGGTAAAAGTTTCACAGAATCATAGAGTTGTTGAGGTTGGAAGGAAGCCCCAGAGGTCATGTTGTCCAACCCCCCGGCTCAAGCAGGGCCACCTAGACGCAGTTGCCCACAATCATGTCCAAACAACTTTCGAATCTCTCCAAGGATGGAGTCTCCACCAGCTCCCTGGGCAACCTGTTCCAGTGCTCAGTCACCATCACGGTGAAAGTGTGTTTCCTCATGTTCAGAGAGAACTTCCTGTGCTTCAGTTTGTGCCTGCTGCCCCTTGTCCTGTCACTGGGCACCACTGAAAACAGTCTGGCCCCATCCTCGTCACCCCATCCAAATTACCGCAGCGGAGAGCAGAACTGGCATTGTGTGACGGATGCATCAGCCGCATGATGCAAATATTAACGAGCTGTGGCTTCTGCAGGTAGCTCTTCGGTTCACGTGTTTATTGGGTTGAAAAATCTGATTACCGTTTAGGAAGTAACACGGGGATGTTGCCAACCATCAGGCAGGTGCTCTTGGTCCTGAAAACTACCTGGGGTTTGAACTCTGTGTATATTCACGTAGATTCCTTAACACTGAGTCTATACCAGCCTGGGATACCTGAATACTAGCATATTCCTCTATGTTTTTTTTCTTTCCTTTTAAATTGGTCAAATATCCTTGTCCTTTACTGTGACTGTGAGCATGGGTCCACACAAGCAAGAGAAACTGAGGAATTAGTCCCACACAAACTGCTGTAGTGGACACAGTAAGCAAGAAAAGAGGCGTTGGGGAGACTTGTGTTTCTCTAGCCTTTATTGTGTCAGTGACAGTTGTGGGAATGGAAAATCTGCAGGTAGCTAATAGTGTTTGTGGAACAACTGTGCAGCAGTAGCACTTCACATCTGAATGTCCACTTCTTTTAAACTAAGTCTTTCACAGAGAATAGCGGGAAGCTGTTACTAGCTTGTTGTGCTTAAGTATGTGGGGTCCTGTTTGCTAGGACTTTTACGTTTTGCTTCATACTGAGCAAAATGTAAATTGTCGAATTGTGGTCTTGAGTGATCCCTCAGGCCACTGTGATCAGAAGTGTCAGTTTGTATCGCTCACTGGGGGTAGGGGGGGGCGGGCAGAGGAGTGTAGCCGGTCCAACAATCACGTCTGAGGGCATCTCAGTTGATCTGAGATGCCTGTAAGCATGGAGGCTCAAATTAACATCTCTGTTTTTGTAGTGAATTGCCTTTTCTCATGTGGTAGAACTGTACCACAACAAGTTGAAGGGTGAGGGTAGTCTCACTGTTGTGAAAGATGGGAAAGGGAAAACATACAAGTGTGATGCTGAAGTTTCTTATTTTTTCCAGGGATAAATTTAAAGAACTTTAACATCCTGTCTTTGTTCTGCTCCTCAGATTTTGAAGCAAGTTTTATTCGCCTGATTGACAAAGTGACCAATGGCTCTCGGATTGAAATAAACCAAACAGGTGAGATGTATTTTCTCTTCTTCCTCTGTTTTGGTTTTCTCTATCAGTTGCTGCAGTGAAATCAAAGTTTTGGGTTGACAGAGGTAGGTGTTCCAATAGCACTGACTGAGAAGATCGGAAGTAACCAAGCTGAGGAGTTTTCTAGTGATTGATCACATGCAAGATGATCAGCGCTCCACTATCATGCAGAGAGTTAAGGAAACTGTATTGCTCAAAAATTAAAATCAATATTTTGTTTGGTATGCAGGACTTCGTAGTGGGCGAAGGTCCCTCTGAACCAGAATAGGTTTTTGTAGAGGAGAAGGTTTGCCTTCTACAAAGGCAAACTTCTGAGCAAGACCTCTTTGTCTAGTCATGCTCAGAGAAGGGGTCGGTTTGAGTGAGAAGTGTCCCACCTAAACATCTCATCTGGTTCTTGTCCTTGTTTGTTTTTTTAAGGACTATGGTTGATCAGTAAAGCAGATGAACTGCCACCAGATATGCCGAGACAGCGATGACCTGATGGTCTGGTGAAGGTTGAGCTGCTGGGGAGGATAATAATTGCTTGTAGAAGCATTTTGGAGATTGCTAAGAGATCCTTGATTTTTGGGGAGGAGGGGTAAGGAGTAGAAGTGGTGTGCAAGACAGACAGACAGCCACTCACTCATGTGCATTGGCCCATTTATTAACTGCAGACATAGAAATAGCCTGCTGGAAGTGCTACCATCTTCCATAAATTCTTCTGTCTCCGATTTGCCTTTATACGTTGTTGCAAAGTGTCTTTATGCAATGGCCAGTGTGCTGATGGTGCTCTCACTTGGTTTGCTCCTCTGGCATCTTTCCCCCAGGTACTACCCTGTATTATCAGCCTGGTCTTCTGTATGGAGGCTCGCTGGAACATGACTGCAGCCCCAGTCGTGGTATTGGCTACTATTTGGAAAGTCTGCTCTGCTTGGCACCTTTCATGAAACATCCGTTGAAGATTGTCCTGAGAGGAGTAACAAATGATCAAGTAGATCCTTCGGTAAGTAATAAAATTTAAGTACCAGAGGAGGATGTTTTTTTCCCCTAAAAAAAAAAAATATTAGGAAGAAGTCTCTAAAACATGTTACATTTTTATTACCCCTCACGTCCAGAAGCATCCAGTGTTACTGCATCTGCCAGCAAACTCCCTGAATCAAAAAAGTACCTGCCAAACTGTTGCCTTTCTGCATCACACTCCAAACTGCAGTTTGTAATCCACCTTTTGACTTTCAGTTCTGTACTGCTTCTGTCTTCTCCCCTGGAAATTCCCTTTAAATGTGATGTGAGGCTCTGCCATTGGTTTGCCTCTGTTGTTCTCTCAGAAGTTAGATGGGTTGTTTCTCTCACCCCACACATGTATTTACTGTGAAAAGAGAAAACTGTCTTTAAAATTTGAGTGTGACAGGGAAGGACTCTCTCTGTTCTATTAGGTGCTGGACATAGTTACACCAGTGCTGGTGTGAAGCCTGCTTTCTGTTAGAAACAGAAGTCACATGACAATTGTGAAATTACAGTTGCAAAAATATGTAATAACTGATTCTTCAAAAAGACTCTAGAAGGCACAGTGGATCAAACAACTGTGAAATACTTGCCTTGATATCTGTTACTGGTGATTTACAGTCCTTAGTTTTAAAAATGTTGTTACAAAAACGAGCTACGGATGAAGTGGGATTAAAACACTGAAGTAGTAGTTAGTGGTTATGATTTTTTTTTTTCCCCAAAAGAAAACAAGTGTAATGGCTTTTGGAAAACAGCACTGCTGTTTACCTTTTGAATGGTGATTGGTGATTGCCTGTTTTCCTCCGAGTAGATTATGGAATCATTGTCATCTGAAAACTTAATCTGTTTGTATGAATACAAATACTATGAAGTGGAAGTGCGGATATTAAATGAGCCTCTGAGTACTGCTGGTATATGTGGTTTTTCAGCTGTGCATCTCTTGTCATTTACAAAAACTTGGTCTCTCACCTGTGGGTCTGTGAGACACCCACACGAGTCAAAGGATGATTGAAGTGAGTTATACACAGCACTGTCAAAATAACAAAAGGAGAAAAAAAAAAGTAAAATGGGAAGCGTGTTTTGCTGATCTTTTCGTCACCATGATAAAAAGTACTTAACAGAAATGGAGGTAGTAAGAATCAAAGGAGTCTCTTCTTGTTGACTGCATCTTTCTAATCACAATGGAGAAATTGTTGAAGCATGTGGAGACAGAGCAATGCAATCTTAACGTTGCTTTCCAGTAAATTTGGAGACTTGTTTAAGCAATTGGGTCTTGATTCTGGAGATTATCCCTTTCCAGGCATCAGTCACATGGACCAACAGAGATTAAATAATTTTAGTTGCCAGAATTTCGGGCAGTTAGTTTGTGCTTGAAGGGGGCTTGCACTGGCCAGAGCTCAAAAAGGGGTGCTTAAATTTGTCTATCCATCTGTACACTTTCTGGCTTTCCAAGGAGAAGGAGGAAAGGCAAAGCAGTGTAAATACCTTGTGGGTAATTTAAAATGGACAACGAGTTTGCCCTGCTGCTCGTCATGTAAGAAGCTCTCCATCTCAACTTAGGAGGTACAATAGCCAAGGCACCCACTTGTCTGCTTTGGATAATTTTTATTGTTTTTATTTGTAAAAGGGACAGAATGTTTTGTACACAGGTGTCTTTATTTTGGAGCTAGATGAGCTCTGCAGGATGTGTGCTTGTGTGAGTATATTCAACACCTGTCATCTGCAGATAAATGTACAAATTCACATATTCATGTGTGAAAATACAGAAGTACATACACACATATACACACATATGATCCTATAGTCCCTCTTTTGTGCTTGAAAGGAGAAGGTTATCCTGCCCATCCTCCCTCCATATCTCCTGTTTTCAGCCACACAGTCCTGTGTACTCCAATACCCCAGACACTTTTCAGAGCCTTCCTTAAGCCCATTCAACTCACTGGCAAAATAGCGGAGAGCTATACCCCTGCATTTTGTTGTGGAGGTATCCGTGAGGTAGGTAGCAGGAATGTGAGCACAGCCAAAGAAGTGGGACCTTTCCCTCATGGTAGCAGTGAGCAGGTGGGCTGAGCCGCTGGGGTTTCTGAAACCCACTCTCAGCTTTTAGGCAGGCTCAGAAATATATGTCAGATGAGATTGCTGAGTTGTGGGTTTGAGGCTGCGTTTTGCCAGAGGCCCCCTAGTCAAGAGGACAAGAGGGAAAGTGGCAGATCTCCTGCTGTGGGGAGACTGGAAGTGGTCAAGGCGAGATGAAGGGCATTTCCAGAGGCTGGCTTACGGAAGGAAGGAGTTTGGCTGATTTCAGTGAAGCACAGGTCAGGCTGAGCTCCTGGAGCATAGTGTGTGTTTATGTTAGCATTGGCTTCTATACATTAATAGCCATCCAGTGGGGTGCAGTGGAAAGCTCTTTGACAACTGGTGCCGTTCCGAAGGATTACCATGGCCACTGAAATACAGGGTGATGTGCGCTTGCTCCAGGTTGGACTGTGGTGGTAATAGTGTGTGAGTGATGCATCCTGAATGAGTGAGAGGGATACTACTTCTTTCACGTTTGTCGGGAAGAGACGTGGCTTTGGAATGCCATCCTGAGCCGTACACTGGCAGCCTACATTTGTATTATGTTTTTCTGCGTGACCAGTGGTGAGACCTGGCCGTGGACAGCTTGTGGGACCAGCCGTGTGGGACTGGCGTATAGAGTTGGGGTAGTTCCAGGTTGCTCTGTAGAGAGATTATGCATGTGCGGAGTGCCTTTGTACAGTGCCTTTTTGAAGCGAATGGGGGTGGCACGCAAATGATAGCCCTTATTTTCCTGTTGTTCTCTATATGTTGTTACTCTGACAGATACGTTGTGCTGCAGCAACCTGGTTTTAGAACAATCATTCATAACGTTTGGGTTTGCGAGTGTTGTGTTTTTACAGCTATGCCATGGGACTTTCAGCTGAAACAACTTTCATGCTGGCATGAGACTAGCATATGAAGTTTTGGCATGGAGGCAATAGTCTTCGATGTGAATCAAAATTTAGCAGTTGTCTGTAATCCCAGGAAAACAAGAAGTTTTTCCTGATGACTTTTCTGTCTCTTTTGTGTTTTTTTTGGTAGCATCTGTGTCTGGGGGTTTTTTTTGCAGCTTTGCACTAGCTAAGGGATTCTGCCAGCCGTGAGAAGTTACTTTTCATATTTTTTTCTCTTTTAATCGTTGTAGATTTCTTTAAAGGAAAAAGGTTTGTATTTACACTAGTTTGCAAACAAGCAATGTCATCAGACTTAACAAATTGTTGGCATGTGTGGCAAGGTATACCCTCGGCTGTATGGTGCATTGGCTTTGGTAGGACTTGGTACTGTGTTGCCTGCTCTGGAGATGGAGTAACTGCCCTTCAGGGGGAGCTGAAGGGTGATTTTATGGCTGAGTATAGGCAAGAGACTAGAAATGCAGTTTTAGGTCTCAGTTCTGCTGCCATCTTGCGATTTCAAGTGAAGTATTTAACCTCTCTGCCTGAACTCCCACTTGTCTGCTAAGCAGAACAGCCTTTTGCACGTCCTCAAATACTGCCGATTACCTTCTCTATTTAGGCTGCAGATTTGGAACAGAGACAGTCTCTTACTGTGTGTCTGCCTGGTACCTGAGAAGTATCAGGCCTGGAATTTGTCTGAGGGCTAAAAACTACGACAAATCTTGAAATTTTTGGAAACAGACAAACCACACTCAAAATTGATCCAGCTTCCTAATGCTGGCATAACGTGCTTTCTCCAGAGATACAGACTTCAGTCTAAAGAATTCCAAAAGTGGAAATGGAGGAGGGGAAGGCGGTTCCTAACCTACACTGTGAAGCTTTGCTTTTTTAGTTTCCTAAGAAAGTGTGAGAAATACTATGTGTCTTTAATGTGAACCAGATCGGCTTATTGGAACTTCTGCTAGTGGTATTCCCTCGTGTCTCTGTGTGTGCACATGCACATTAGTAAGGGTTTTTGCTCTAAAAGTCAAATTTGTGTGATTAATGAATACTACCGAGGGGCGAAATTAAGGCAGCCTGGCTGTAACAAAATATATAAATACAAAAAATTAATCATTGACTTAGGGTTTTTTTTTAATGAAAACATTCAAATATTGATAGTACCGTTGAAAACAACACCAAATGCCTCTCTGTAAGAAAGGAAGTATGTTGGCCAAGCAGGATATGAAGAATGAGAGCTGCAGCATACGCTTGTAGCTTCTGAGGTAGCTCTAACAGGCTGTTCACAGCTTTGTAGGTGAGGCATGTGCTACTACTTCATCAGCAGCTTGCACTCTCTGCAAAGCAGAGAGAATGAAACTCAAGAATTGTGGATTCTGGCTGAAGGGAGGGGAAGGAGGGTGCTTTTTTTCCTGCCTCTGAACTGCTGTTTACAGCATGCCTGTTTCCTTAACCTGAATTTAGTTCCTCTGGTCATGCTGTCCTGGTCCTGTCTTTCCCAAGCTGCTTGTTTTGGGTAACTACTGTGCTGTTGCACTGCTGAATCATCTTTGTCACCTTCGGCAATGCTACTAAAGTTTCAATAGAAGGAAGAAGATGGCAGTCGCTGTTTGTCTTAGGTCAGCAATTAGGAGGAGCAACGGCAAGGAAAATCCTACTTGGACCTGGATCTGGCGAGCATCTGGTTCAGAGAGCACGTGGATGATGTGTTAGTTGCTTCAGTTCTTCCAAGTGTTTCAGCAGAGGTTACCTAGAAGCTTCTGTTTCTTGGAAACAGATGAAAAGAAGTTCTTGACAAAAGGATGAGGTTCCTCCTGCCAAATCAAGGGCCTGTTCCAAAGTGCGAAGGTTATTGTAATCATCATTTGTTTAGCTGTAGGAATTTTTTAGCAATGACAGAAGAACGTAGTTTTTTTCAGTATCTGGGTTCATAGAAACAAATGAGCTGTTTTAGCTGAACTGTAATAGAAGTAAATATCAGGCTGAGGAGGAAATGCAGAATAGGAAATTCCATCTCCCAGTAATTTGTTCTAGCAAATACTTTGAGTAGTGAGCTAGTGTTGGTAGTCTAGGGGCAGCTGAAGCACTCTATGCTGCATTTCCACATCTTCCCATACCATACCTGGTATGGAGAAGCCTTGTCTTTGTTAGGCATCTCATAATGCAACAATGTTTAGATTACTGACTTCCATAACTTCCAATAAAGAGTCTGCTTTTTTGATTCTGTGTTCTACAGGTTGATGTTCTAAAGGCAACAGCTCTACCCCTACTGAAGAAGTTTGGAATTGATGGTGAAAGTCTGGAAATCAAGGTAAGACAGTTTGTTCCCTTCTTTTCTAGCACATGGTGAAATGGTACTTTTGCACTGCTTTAGAGGGCCATATGCTGACTGCTGGTATCTGTCTCTAGCAGATATCTAGTTGTAGCTACACACGTTTCTAAAATCACCTCCTGTTCTTGGCATGTTTTAAATGGCATACCAGCCACGCAGCAATTGAAGATGTGGTAGAAGAGAGATGCAAAGTCTATGGGTAGAGAGGGTAAAAAGAAAGTAGTGGCTTTTCTTAGTCTCCAAGATCTTTACAAGCTAAGAAACCTTTTTGCCTGCTTGTTCCTCCTCAGTTCACTTAATTTCTTTTTTCCTTCCACTTGCTCTTCCTGCCTCCTGCTTAGGGCTAGGGAGTAATAGTAGAATCTTCTGCCTCCTTCACTGGTAGAGGAGCTGGTTCTGGGGGTGATCAAGGTTTGCTTCCAGTTTGGAAAATACAAGAAAGAAACTTTTCTTTTAGAGACTACACTCTTCACAGGCCCAATAAATCTGGATGAAGAATAGATTTTTTTAGGTTGGAGAAAGGAATTATAACCTTTCAAAGTTAAGAACGCTGATTTAAAATGTGTGAAGGGCCTAGCTGTGCTACTAGTCTTTTGCTTGCTTTGCCAGTTTTCCCACCCCAGGTGCCTCCTTCCACCCTGCCCACAGTGCAGGACCCCATGTCATCCCCCTGGGATTGTCAGCCCATGCTCCAGCAACCCCGCAGCAGGGCCGCAGCAGGGCCAGTCTCCATCTTCCCACAGCCCTGCCCTGCCTGGCCATGGGCCCCCCTGAACCAGACCCACCTGTGGGCCCATATCCAGCCCCATCCTTGTGGCCATCGTCTGGGGTGGTGGAACAGGGTCTGGCTAGCCAGGCCTGTTTATGGGAATCAGTTCATCCTGGTCCCCCATATACATACTAACCATCAAACACTTCTAGACTTCCTTCAGCAGTGAGATTTGCTATTACAGATCAGTCTTAAGCCAAGGTTGCCTTCCTGGTAAAGACGTTGGGTTTTTGTTTAGTTGGTTTGGTTTTGTTTTGTTTTCCATTGAGAAGCCATGCCCTACTGTACTTGAGAGAGAGGAGGAAAAAGGAAATTAATTTTTGCTTGTAGGTTTGGTGTAAAATCCATTTCTGCCTTTAGGGTATTTTTTCTCGCCTGTATTCACATAATACCCCTACTGATAACATTTTGTTGTGTGTGAAATAAAAGCTGTCATTTTTGAGTGTGTGAGTACATTCTTTGTGCTCTTTGCTAACCTGCTTTTTTTCTCCATTATTGTTTCTAGATCAACCGGAGAGGAATGCCTCCGAAAGGGGGTGGAGAGATACTGTTTGCGTGCCCAGTGAGAAAGGTCTTGCAGCCGATTCAGTTCACAGACCCTGGCAAAATCAAGCGCATCAGAGGAACTGCGTATCCTTGTTTGTTTGTTTGTTTTTCTGCTTTGAGAAGACTGTGGCTTAAAAAATAAGTCCCAGCTTGAAGTCACAGAAGTGCACCCATGTCACTGAGCACATATCCAGATAACACAGGGTGAGATTACACAGAGGGATCACACATCTAGATTTCAGGACTATGTGTCATAACTGCTGTGTTCAGAACATTGCTGGACTTTTAAACATAAAACTGAACAGCACTATTTAAAATCTTTTCAATAGCAAGGAAAGGTTAACATACCTTCCATCACACACTGTAGCAGTGCTAAAAGGAATCTTACCCTGTGTATAAATCCAGTAGATTTGTCACATGTTGACTAGGTGGCATCTTGGTTGTTAATGAGTCTAGCAGAATGTTAGATGGGAGCTTAAATCTTAGCACAGTTAACATCTCACTGCACACCTGTGAATTGAGCTTTTTCTTGTGTGATGGAAAGAAGTTTGTCAGCTCTTCACCTTCAGTAGTACAGTTGGAGATGGAAGAGGTTTTACCTCTGCACAAAGGGCACAAAATACTGTTGTGGAGTACTCACTTTTGCAAACAGAACTGCACATCTAGTTAATGGGGGGGGGGTGTCCTTTATTTTTCTCTTGTGGCTTTGATATGGTATCTGTCATGAATCTGCTGTCACTGTAGGAAGAAGGCATGAATCCCTTACAGGCAAGGTATACTAAAGGTTGTATTTCATGAGCTCCTGCTCTATCCTGAGCATTGGCCAACTTGTAGTTTAATTTGCAATTATGAGAGTCTGTGGCATTTGGATGAGCACAGCATTGCAGGTGAAAGCAATTTTACTGTGTGCATATGCTGTAGAATAAAAAGGAGGCAGGTCATTGTGCTTTTGGTAGTGTTTTTCATGTTTTTCCATGAAGAAAGTAATTTCCTTATGCCCCTGTCCACCTCTGTGGTAAGTAGCTCTGTCCTCTGTTTCTGTGTGAAGGAGGGAGCACTGATCATTGCTTTAGTGCCATCTTTCTAAATTGATGTTAAAACACCGTGCCATTCTGGGCTGCTGTGACTGTATTTGGTTGATGTATGTGAACTGCAGGTTTTTAACTTCCACTTTCCTTTAGGTTTTCCTGTGCTTTTTCTCGGGGATAAAGGTTTGTCTTTAGTAAGCCCTGTGGAAGGCAGTCTCATTTTAGTTTAGCCACTATGTGGTCCTTCAAGCCAGTAGACAACAAAACATCTGGAAGGATGTGTGCTTGGGTCTTTTTTTATGTGCATTTTTGTCTCTTCAACATTCAGCTGAGCAAATCTGCTTCCTCACAGCTGGGAGTCTGTGTTGCAGTAACCTTTTGTAGTCATCCAAAATACTGAGTGCACCACCTGCGCAGAACAATCAGTTTTCTGATTGTTATTGACTGGGCTTGCCTGTACAATCTTAAAAGCTGTTGGTTTACCTACTCCACAGGAGAACGCAATAGAAATTAGTAGAAAAGGAAATTCCCTTCTGCCAGCTGGGAGGTTTGACAGTGTGTTGCTCTGCATTGGTATGCGCATGTAGGAGCAGATGGGTGGTTAAATGTGCAGAACATGAGCCTGCATTATAGTTGGGATGTAGTTTGGAGCACATTGTGCTTTCTACGTTTGAAGATCTGTGGGGAATATCACTGAAGCAGCACCTGTGTAAAAGGGCACAAAGGCAGCTCATCTCTTCTGTACTGTGGGGAGGTGGGTTGAGGTGAGCAGGAAAGTGGTAGTTTCTTCTTCCCTGGTGCTGTTACCTTTAGACGCTGAGTGACTGGAGAACCAGTGAACTGACAGAGCCTCACAGCACTGCAAAATAGTTGGGGAGAGCAAAAATTTTCTTTTTTTTTCCTTTTAGAATAATTTTTTTTTTTTGTAAAACATTTGTCTTTGATTTCATGTACACAATTTCTCCCTAGAAATTGAAAGACAGGATTTCTTACTGCTAATTCAGAGAAACTTAACTTGTCACCATCTTTTAGTAGTATGTGAGTAGCAGAGTACACAGGGCTTCCTCCCTCGTAAGAAAGCGCAGGATGACAGAACAGCAATTTCAGATTGTTGAAGGGCATTTTTAAGATAGGTGTTTAAATAATAATAATATTAATCTGTTCTTCTACACATGTTCTGTGTACCTCACTTCAAGGTACGCCAGTGAAGAGACTGTAGAAAGCACTTATGCACATGTGCCTCTGTAAGTACAGGAAAATGGACCAGTCCTCATGAATAGACAAAACCACATTTTCCAAAATAATGCATTGGGACCTCTTCGCCACTTTTGTCAGTCTCTGGTTTAAATTTATTTTGTGACCACAATTAATCCCTTAGCTCGAAAATGTAGATACTCTGTCAGAGTGTCACCACAGATGGCAAACAGAATGGTGGAATCTGCAAGGAGCATCCTGAATAAATTCCTTCCAGACATTTATATCTACACGGATCATATGAAGGGGGTGAGCTCTGGAAAGTGAGTATCCAGTATTCACAGGGAACAGAAATGTAATTCTCCATTTGTTCATCTGCTAGGCTATTGTGGTGTCCTTTTAGACCATCATCTTCTATCTTGCTGAACTGAAAAAGATACTCCTTGCAGGGAAAGAATGGAATGATTTGCTGTATACGTTTGTTTTACTCATAGTACAGGTGCAGAAGTTGTGTGTTTTCTTAAACAAGGAATGTAATACGTCGTTACTGCTACTAAAGGTAACTTGAGCTCTCTTCAGTTTTAAATCTGTTGCTTTCAAGTGAGATAGGTATCAGAGGTGCCATGGTATGTTGTGAAAACTAACATTGAAATTTGACTGTACACTTTTTGATAGAAACGGTAGTATTAAGGATGGGACCAAACTGTTTTAGAAGGTATTTCAGCTGAATGGGTTGTCTTCTGCATTGCCAACACATTAATAGCTCCTTTCACTAGCGAGGGCTGGAAAAATGAGACATTAATTTACTGTATTTCCACAGATTTTGTTTGCCAGCAGAACACAGAAGTGATGGATGCGATTCAGACAATTTTACTGATTATCTGTCAGCTTTGCTGTTGTCTTGTCACTTTTTGTTGAGCTTGAAGGAATTCTGGATACCTAATTTGTGTTCGGTTGTATGCTCAAATCCAGTCATGCACATTTTCTTTCACTGTTTGCTTTTAGAAATGCTACCTTAAAGAAAACTTGGTAGGTTTGGAAGTTTGCAAATATGAAAATTGTTGGCTCATTTTTAAGTGTTTTTCCTCTTTTCCCATCCTTTGTCATATTTAATATCCCAGGTTAGTAAGTCTTGTGGTTCTAGACTGCTGTTAACAGTGATCAGGATTGTGAAAACTTTTCTGGGAGCTACGAGTTTATGGAGTCTTATTTTGGTTTTTATCTGTCTATAAAGTGGAAAAGTCGAATGAGTTGTGGCAGCAGCATTACATTTACTACTTGGGTGGGTCGCGCATGCAGAGGGATAAATAATAGCATGGGAAGAGGAACAAAATCCGTCTCAACCTTGCTGGTGCATGTAGCTTTATGATGCTGCTGTGCTGTCTCATTCAACCGAAGTATGGCACCAGTATGGTTGCCGTATACCTGGTATTAACATTGTGCCACTCTGGCAAAGGTTTTTTGGTTAACCTGATTCCCAGTGCGTGTGTGTGTGTGTGTGTCTTGTCAGGACAAGGAAGGAAAGCAGTATTACCTCGCTGTTTCCAGTGCTGCCTCTGACGATTAGTAAGACCAGCAAGGACTTTGTGCCCAGCCCAAACCCAAGTCCTGATTTCAGAATATAAAGCATTGAACTATAGCCCTTCCACAGTGTCGAAAGCTTCAGGGAATACATTATTTGAGCATCTTCTGCCACCTATAATGTCTCTGTAAGCAGGAACTGCCCGGTTCTGTTTTGAGCATTTGCAGCAAAAAGTTTGTGCGGGTGCTTCCTAATACTGTCTGCACATACATGAGGCTCTGGATGACTTTAATTTTTAGGGGGCAGGTTGCCACATGCTACTGAACACTAACAACATCTGCCAGTGGGTATAGTTTTTAAAGGATACTTGTCAAAAAAATAGCATCTTTGACACTGTTCTTGTCTAGATCTCTATCTCTCTTTAAAAGGAAAAGATAAGAGAAACATCTTTAACATACCTTCTGTGTTGCTCAGCAAGTGCAGGGAGTTAAATATGTATGGGAACCACTGGTGTCTTTTCATTCCTGCCCAACTAAAATGCCTCTGGAGGAACTGTTGTTTTTCTGGCACTGAGAGAGTTTCTGTGTATTGGTGTTTGGGGTTTGATTTTGTGGTTTGTTGATGATGTTGATGTTCCTTAGAGTTTTGGGTCAATGGGACTATTTTAATTAAGAAGTTTGGGTGGTGGAGACAGCAGGAGTCCAAAACTGTGGGAAGTTAAGTTAACCTTGCTTTGAATGGCTAGCTATTGGTGCTCTTCCAGAGCCTATAAATAAGAGGATCTTGTGACTTTTTTCTTCTTCCTTACATCTTTCTGATTTCTCAGCAAGCTGTACTCAGCCATCTGTGACTTTCTTGTAGCAAAACTGTTTCTTAACTCTCACAGTAACATTTTGTAGGATCCTAAGCTCAGAGAAAAATAGGGGGGTTTTATTTCTTTCTTCAAATCATAAGTTCAGAATTCTCTTATGGTTGTAATGATTTGGATGGTATTGAATTGAAAGTGAAAAGAAGCGACTGGAAATACAAGTAATGTGGATCAAAAATATTTTTATTCCCTGCTTGGTGCCACAGCTATGGTCTAATCTTGCTAAATATTGAAGCTTCCAGGTAAAGAGCTCGATCCCTAATTAGCTTAGGTTATGAATGTCTCAGAGAAGAAACTCTGGATACCTTTGAATGGTCATCAAATATGAATTAAATAAATGTGAAATGCATTATTTTTTTTAATAGACAAGGGTACTTCTGCTGTTTGGATTTTTATTTTTTTTTCCTTATAAAAGAGTCTGTGCAATTGTCACAAGTTGGCAGCACAGTGAGTTTGGGGCAAGTGATACTGGGTTGAACTTTTAAACACTGTTTTTAATGTTTTTTTCCAGGGTGAATTAAATGTGTAGAACAGGAAATTTGTCAGCAAGTCCAGATTCACAGTATTGTCCTATGAGAGGAGCTGTTTGACTTGAGGAGGAGGTTGGCTGGGAGTAGTTCTTGACTCATTACTCAATTTTTGTCCTTAAATCAAATGCACTTTTCCCCTTTCTTTCAGATCACCAGGTTTTGGCATGTGCCTGACTGCAGAGACCATCAATGGGACTATTCTCAGTGCCGAGCTAGCCTCAAACCCTCAGGGCCAGGGAGCAGCTGTGCTTCCCGAGGAACTTGGCCAGAATTGTGCTAAGCTGTTGCTTGAGGAGGTCTACAGGGTAAGTGGCTATGTTTTGTGTGTATAGCTGTAGGGGAAGAAGGTTATGATGTATTGGTAGAGGAGGAGGTGGTTTTGGGGCACCCTGAGATGGGGTCAGATCCAAACAGAGAAATGATCTGATGCCACCAGTGTCTTCTTCGTTCAGGTAAGGAGTGGTTTTGAATGGTGCCATTAACAGTGTAATGTCTTACTGGGCTGTATTGTTTCCCGTGTCCAGGAGATGTTACTGTGAATCACAGGAGTGGGAAATTTTTGTTTTGTTGCTTTCTGTCTGCAGCAGAATTCAGTTGGCTTCACGTGGGCTGTTACTTTTTTTTAGTAATAAACTGGAGGGAGAATAGAGTCAATGCTCTGAGAATAGTGGTTGGAATTGTGTCTTATGAGTGGGAGAACATATGAGAAAGAAGAAGGGGAAAAAAAGAAGCAGCTAGCCTCAGTGGTGGCTGCTTTGTGGTGATGATGACAAAGTCAAATGTGCTGAGATCTGTTGGTTGTGTGAGGGGTTGGTTTGTTGGAAAGGAGCTGGGACAGTGTTTGCATAGGAGTCTTCAGCACACCACAGTCGTCTGCAGGTTTTGGGGTTTTTTTTTGTATTAAAATGTTTTTCATTTGTGGTGAGATTTTTAGTGGATGACCAGCTTTCAGTCTTACATGTGATTTGGCCATTAGCAGCATAGTGAGTTTCTGATTGTTGTGGTTTAACCTAGCAGTTAGGACCCAACAGCCACTCGCTCACCCTTCTCCTTCCCCCCCAGGACATTGATTTAATAAAGAATCTACCTGCTTTTGTTGTGTATCTCCACAAATGTTAAAATAAGTAGCTGTTTGCATTGACAAAATGCATTTGGCCTTTAGGAGGCAGTCATCTACAAATTCTACTCACTGTTTTAAAAAAAGTAATTGCTCTGAACAGGAATAACCTGATGGGACTTTGCAAAATATTAAAAATGCCACTAATGAGATTCTGTATTAGGTAATTTAGTCAATTATAAAAATACCCCTTAACCTCATAAATCACATACATAGGTGTAGTAAATTGTTTCTGTGTGCCCATGTTACCTTTTCCTTTCCCCACTGCAAATCCTTCATCTGTCTGAATTACCGACTTGCCCATTTGTTCCAGTCTTCCAAATATTTTGTCTTTGTTTATTCAGTATATGCACCGTGTTGCTACAGGACTTTCTGTTTCTAGCCCAGAGTTCTTATCTCATAGAAACACCACAAACAAATATTCTTTCTGGGTGCAGTCGAGACCCCTTCCATTTGAAAGTCCAGCAGGCATGAAGAATGCAGTCACAGCTAGTGAGTGAAATGTCTGTCTGTTTCTACAGTTAACGTAGTGACAGGTAGCTATTTTTATTTGAGGGGTGAATTGTAAAATATCAGGTTCGTCTCCCCACCATCCCACTCCCTTTTTTCTCTTTTAAAGCCATCCAGCACTTGACAGATTGAAACTAGTCAGGGAATTTGTCCAGATAGTATACTTTCTTCCGAGTGAGATGTCAGAGAACTTCTGAAATGAGGAGTGCTGGAAAGGCCTGAAAGAGGTACTTTTCTGTTTTACTGTACTGTAGCCATTTGAATGTCATGAGTCAAACTCTGCAAAGCACGAGGATAGTGAGGATCTCAGGACAACAAAAAAGCATTTGAGGAGGCAACAGGGTCTTTGAATGATAAAGTGATAGGCCATGAGATTTCAATGTGTTTGAACATCAGATTCTGAGTGAGTGACATAATTAGCTGTGGCCTGCTATGGCACTGCTGGTACTCCTAGAAGGCTTTTTTACATGTGGGCTGCTTTGGTCCAAGAGCAACTGACAAGTGCTGAGTAGTGTATGGACTGCTAGTGGTCCTCCACTGCAGCAACTCACGTTGGAAAAGCCCTTGTTTGTTAGCAGTTTTGGCTGTTGTGCTGCTTATCCACTGGGGTGCTTGGTCCTTATTCAATGTTCATGAATTCCCTGCTCCTTCTGTAATGGGCAAATGTGGTGGGGTTTGTTCTGTAGATTTCAGAATGCACACTTAGAATTTATGACACACACACTCACAGCTCATCTTTCCAAATTCCGGGCTAGTGCTTTCTCATTGATTTTTTTTTTTTCCCCCCTCTCTCTTCAGCTTAGGTCAATTTGATCTAATGTTGACCCCAGAGAGGATATAAAAACATGTTGCAAAGCATGCAGTGTTTGCTTAGTTTGTGGATACTGGGTTTTTTTTAAGGTTTTTTTGACTAGATAAGATGTCTAGTGAATCAGTAAAAATTTGGAAAAGCTTTGCGTCAGGCAAGGATAGGTTGCTCTGAACAGGCACTATCTAAGTCCCACGCCCTTCACACTAGCTACTTACTGAATACAGGGCTCGACAGGATTTCTCTCCCTGTATTTAGATCCTCTCTTTATGAGATTGTTTCTCTATCTGTGTCTTTGCCTGTAGGTACTGTGCTGCAGGAGCCAAAGAGGGATGACCAGAAAAGGGCATCCTGGGAGCACTGGAGATAACTCTCTGTAGAAGGGTTTTAGCTGTCGAGGTCAGCCACAAATCTGCTGGAGTTTATTACTGTTTAAAGGGGCCCAGGGCCGTCTCTAAATTGCTTCCTTAATGCTTGCTATTATGTGAACCTCACCACTGAAGAAGTCTAAGGTTTCAGTCTTGCTATGTTAAGAGCTAAATGGTCCCTTTTACTAAGCCTTCAAAAAGAAAGAGGGCATATGATTCTTGGAATCAGTGGAGCTGTTTTTATGTACCTTTGTTGATGAAAAGATGCTGGAGCTAACTGACTAATAGTTAAGTGGCACAGTGCTAATTACACTGGCCCTGTAGGAGGGGGTGTGGAGTGTCTGGCTAGCATTGTCTTTATAAATTCATATAGCAGTTCTTACCTAAGCTTAATTGTAGAAGGCCAATGAGGATTTTACTCTTGCCTTTGGAAGTTGTTAGTTATGGAAGCTTTATATAGCAGGTGATTGGCAGAATGGAAAGCCCTGGAAGAACTGGAAAAGGATCAAATGTTTATATTCCTTGTGATCATGAGAAATAGGGGAGGATGCAATACCTATTTAAGGCTGAGTTCTTTAGTGAAGAGAGGTCAAGTTGTTAGGGAGGCTTGGAGGGGGCAGGAGGGGTAAGGCTGTTTGTTTAATTTAACTAGAGCTAAAATGAGTGAAGGATTTCACTGAAGGCTTAATTTTCAAGATGGCCGTAATTCAGTGTGACAAGACTGTGCTCCATTCTCAAAAAAAAAACCAAACCAAACCTCTGCACTTCACATAACAAATTACTGAGGCATGCAAATACATACCGCACAGGTAAGGAGGAAGTTGTGTGTGTGCCAAAATATAACCAAGACTAAATCAAATCTGGGGTCAAACTCAGAAGAGTAGTTCTCTTCAAAACACTGTTGTCCAATACGCAGAGTTGCGGTATTTGTATGTGAAAGTCAGCTGCGGTATTCGTATAACAGCGTTTCAAAATGGAGGTGATTTTACTTGATTTATGTCTCTGTCACATCCAGCTGGATCTGGTTCTGTTGTCAATGGAAACAATAATGGAGAAACTGCTGTAAACTGTATTAATATGGACTAGAAGCTACATCCCAGGTTGGTAATGAGTGCCAGCTGTTTTGGAACAAATGTCAGTACTTTGTCTCTGACTGCCCATCCCATTTCTTGTGGGAGCCTTGTTTTTTATTTTGGTCTCTTAAGTAAGTGGCAGGTGCATTGAGAGAAGAACGTTGGCCTCCTTCGGAGCAGCATGTCCCTCATTTGGCACAAGTTACTGTTATGTCATCGTTAGATTACAAGCAGATCATTTAATTTCCCTGTCTGGCAACTGCCTGTGTGGGAATGGGCATAACAGCACATTGCTAATGTGCAACAATAGTGGGGACGACTGACTCACCGCAGCAAGAGAGCTTATGTAAGCAGCTAGGATGTGAGGGATGCAACATGTTTTGCTATATTGTTTAGGACGTGGTTGTTTCCATGCTGATGGAAGCTTTTGTATAAATTTGGTCATAAAAACAGATGTTTTATAATGTCTTCAGCTTTAAAAAAAACAAACCAAAACAAAACCCCACAAAAACAAGCTCAGGAAAGGTGAAGTTCTCATCCAAGTTATAAAGAGCATTTTGAATTATTAACTGAACTACAGATACAGAAAGTCCTGTGTCAGGAATACTTACCAAACTCTCATCTGCTCCTCGTACATGTTTCAGATTTGCAGATACAGCTGGTGAGAGCTGTGGGTTTGGATCACACCAGCAAATTCTGCAGGTACCCTGTTTGCTCAAGATAAAGCAGAATTTTTGTCGGTCCGGTAGAGGGCGTTAGGTTGAGTGCATGAACTTCACTTTGGTGTGGCAGGTTCACGCAGTTAAAAGGGCAAAGGATGCTGTAACAGCATGTTGCTAGGAGTTAGGTCATGGTAGTGAACGTAATAAAGATGTTTCCTTCATTGTAGTGTATCATTAGTTGCATGAAATGCAGAGACTTTTTTGAGAGGAACAGAGCTGAGGCTTGTCACACTGAAGCAAAGCCATCTTGAAAATTAAATCTTCAGTAACTCTCCTTGGAAGGTCCTCCTTTCTGCCCTCTCACTGAGTAAATGTGCTGAGGTTGTTGCATCGTTCTGTTTTCTTAATCTGTGTCGTCCAAAATAGATTTTGCCCCCTCCCTTTTCTTTTTTGTATGCTGTTATCTCGTAAAATGAGGACGGGTTACTCCTTGTCCACAAAGGTAATTCTTAGTTTACCTGATTAGAGAGTTGGGTTTTAAAAGGATGAATTTTTAGTTTTGCTCTCTCCAGAGAGCCTGTTTGGAGGGTTTAGCTTTAGGCCTGATCCAGCAGGAAACTGTTCACAGATTTCATGCAGCTGTGGATCAGGACAAATACAAGGACAGGGTGAAATAATGTTATGCCAGATATTCTTCCTATTTGCAATGTGTTTGCATAGTCATAGTTGGTAAATCCTCTCTACAGCAGTCTTGGCTGAAAGTATCCCTTTTCGTTTACATTCAAGCTTTGTAAACAAAGAAAGCCTTCCAATTATAATTTCTGTATGCATCGTAGTTAACACCTTCCACATACAAAACAATTTGCCATGCATGCATGACTTATCACAGTCAGATATGTGCAGGAGTATGTGTAGTTCCACATAATTTTATGCATGGCTCTTTCACATAGCAGTAAAAAAAAATTCTTCCTATTTTAAATATGGGCAAAAATATGTTTTACATTTGTAAAACCACAAAAGGTAGCAGCAAGGGCTTAGGTGGAAGTGTGTGAAGCAACTTTTAACTTGCTGTTTTGCACCAACTAACACTGAACTATTTGTCCGAACGTAACTTTTTACACTTTGAAGTGCTGCAATTCATGGTATCTTCAAATGCACATGAACTGTAATTAATACCTGTTTTCAGTTTACTGCAAAGAAATTCTTCAGTGCTTACATTCTGTGATGTTAGAAGAGAACACGTTGGGAGAGATGGGGGGCATCTTTAATGTGACCTTGTTACTGGCTTTTGTTTTAGTTCTGTTCCTTTCCCAGCCCACCATATGAAATTAATTTGTCATTGTTACAAAATCTAGATTTTTATCTTTTTTGGCCCTTGAAAATTGGGAGCAGTAATTCAGCCTTTTAAGTGTATCTTTCTCCATTGTTACTCTCCTCCCATCTGGATTTCTGGTTTGTACAGAGATTAATTATTAAAACATTTTGGTTTGCAGGGGGGCTGTGTAGATTCAACAAATCAGAGCCTTGCTCTGCTCCTCATGACCCTTGGACAGCGGGATGTTTCCAAAGTCCTCTTAGGACCTCTGTCTCCATACACGTAAGTTGTTTTGTTCAGTTTAATTGCCCAGTCTTCTTTAATTCACTGGTTTTATTGCACAGCTATTTTTGTGTATGGAAGACTTTTCCTGGGGCTATGAGTAGACCAACTTGTACCCGTCTTCAAATGAGGCAGGTGGTATAAGTTACTTAGTATTTATTTCTTCACATTAGAAGATGATTCTGAGGTAATTAGAACTGTGGAGACGAGGTTTGTTGTTGGTTCTTGGTCTTGGATTATATGTGTACATCGGTTTGCTTTTCTTGTCTAGCATACACTACCGTGTTTTCCCAGTGATCTCTCTGTAGCTGTGGCATTAAATGGCATATTTTAAATGGCTAGCCAAACTCTAGAGCTGTGATTGTCCATTGGAAACAGCTTAGGAGATCAATTCATGGACCTTTGTGCAACCCCAAAGCTTTAGCCCTATAGGCAGTGTACTTCTGTCTAGTCCTTCAGTCTCAATTTTTATTAAAGCTTTTACATTGCTAGTTGCAACACACAGGTTAGGGGAAGGGCATCCAGTATCAAAGATCTCATTTACTCTATCAGACTGACAAGTGATTGACTAGATCACAGTTATTCCTAGAGGCTGAGCAGTTTTCCTTTAATCAAATGGAGGGAGGGTTGTTTATCTGACAATGGCATCAAATAGTAAGACTATGAACTGTCCTTTTTCGGTTATCATGGTACCGGTGCTGTATACGTGAAAGGTACAGTACTGTGATAACTGAAGAATGGTGGTGCCATCACATGGGAGCTAGAAATTGCCTAACTGCTATTCTCAACCCCTGATATCTTGGAAACAACATTCATCAGATTTTGAGGGGAAGACAGGGAAGCCTTCCACTGCACAGGGGCAAAGTAATCCCCTGTAAAGTAAGTATCCATGTGAAAGGCTTACAAAGAGTAGATACCAGTGTTCAAAGTGCGCAGTTAAGCATGTGAAATAAACCAATCACTTGTCATTGTTCAGTCTTTTTTTTGTGTGTGTCCCCCCCCTTTTTTTTTTGATGCTATGAAAATCGCGTAAGCACGCTAGTTTATTTTGTAAGCAGGCTGATTTCAAATGGGTGGGCTGTCACTGCTTCCAGGCTAGGACTGCACAGCAGGGATGAAGGTCAGGAACAGGCATCCTAGAGCAGCTTGACATCGTAAAAACCTGTGATTCTGTGGGAATCTGTGGCTCATCAGTCCTATGAGGATCTATTCAGAGATCACGCAGCTCTGGCTACAGCACCCCTATGCCCTCGCTAAGGTGGTTGATAAAGGGCTGGGAAATTTGGCTCCAGAGCCACTCATCAGATGCACAAGCTTTCGAAGTAAATTGCAGTACTGTCACGTTCTGCTTCATTGTCCCTCCCTTTCTGTCTTGGGTCTGTGACATCTCTGCGTTTAACGCTTTCACCCTGCAGAATCCGAAGCTATTTATGAGCCGTGTTACGCCAGATTCGCCACCCTGTCTAGCACAGTGTGGTGCGAACGTGACAGTTCAGCTGGTGGATGAGAGCACCCTGTGGGGACGTGGTGCTTGGGAATACGTCCTTCGGAACGAGGAGGGAGACATCTCCCAAATCTGCCTGTGCATTTCCACGGGAGGCACCCTTTGCCCCTGCTAATGGCATGGCGGGGTGGGGGCGGCAGCGCCACGAGCAGAGGTGACCTCAGCGGTATTGGGGACACCAGTCCACCTCACGGAGATCAGCCTGCCGGGACAGGCTAGTCTGCCTGACGGTGAATCGGCACCAGCCGGGGGTACGGGGACGCTCGGGCGCCCTGGCCCTTGGGTTCGCAACGGCCTCGGGGCT